ATTGGATCTAAGCTAAACACTTTTGGAAGTATTTTCTCTTTTAATCCTCACTACAACCCTATGTAGCAGGGTCTTTTGGTATCCCCACTGGTAAAGACTCAGTGAGTGGCCCAGGTCACACAGTAAGTGGGAGGCAGATCCATGTTTCTCAACCCAAGCAGTCAGACTCCAGACCACTCTCTTAACAATTGGGTGTCTCTGGGGTTGGCGCTGTGGCACAGTGGGTTAACGCCCTGGCCTAAAGCACCGGCATCCCATATGGGCGCTGGTTCTAGTCCCGGCTGCTCCTCTTCCAATCCAGCTCTCTGTTATGGCCTGGGAAAGCAGTAGAGGATGGCCTAAGTCCTTGGGCCCCTACATCCATGCAGGAGACCTGGAAGAAGCTCCTGGCTCCTGGCTCCTGGCTCCTGGCTTCGGATCAGCACAGCTCTGGTCGTTGCTGCCAATTGGGGAGTGAACCAATGGATAGAAGATCTCTTTCTCGCTCTTCCTCTCCTCTCTCTATGTAACTCTGACTTTCAAATAAGTAAATAAAACTTTAAAAAAAAAAAAGATCAGTATGCAACATTTAAAAACAATTGGGTGTATCTGAGATTTCAAGGTGATATGGAAGCCCTAAGATTTCAACTAGGGCTGGCATATAATGCAGATTAGTGGCTTGCTCTGCATAGCTGTGCATAACTAGATAGGAGAGCAGAGGTGAGCCAGGGTTTCCACAGATGGAGCAGGTGACCATAAGTGCCCAAGTGGGAGTTCTCCCAGGACACAGAGAACAGAGTTGGAGGAGTACAGCTATTCAGTCCAACTTAAGTGATGGGGGAATCTGTGACCCAGCCAAGGGATCATGGCCATGGGCCAAGGCAGTGATCAGTAGAGCAGGGGCAGTGCTTAGGAGTACAGGAAAGAGGGCAAGGTACCATAGATGCCTAGTGGAGACCAGTGCATCTCAACCCACCAGCCTACTGTATGTAAGTTACCTTTTATGTATAAAAGTGTGTGGTTGATAGGCTGTAGCCCCCACCACTGGAGCTGGAGCCAGGTGACCACATGGCTCAAGCACCAATGTCAGTTCCACCCCCACACTAATGGGATTTGTTGCTCCTACTGCCTTGCCTGCCCCACAGCAAAGTTTTAAGAGGACCTCTTCCTGAACACGTGGCTCTCTCTGTCCTTCCCTCAATCTCTGTCTCTTGATGTCTCTCTCTCACTCTCTTGATCTCTCTCTTATGCTCTCCATCTCCCTCTTTTTCTTTTTTGACCCTTCCCTCTGGTCTGTTGGGTTTCTCCCAATAAACCCTTTCCCCTAAAAAAAATAGTGGTTGCGGGGACTGATACTGGCATAGCAGGTAAAGCCACCACCTGCAGTGCCAGCATCCCATATGGATGCCTTTTGAGTCCTGGCTGCTCCACTTGCAATCCAGCTCCCTGCTAATGCACCTGGGAAAGCAGCAAAAGATGGTCCAAGACCATGGCCCCCTGCACCCATGTGGGAGACCTGGAAAAAATTCCTGGTTCCTGGTTTCAGATTGGCCCAACTCCAGCTGCTGTGGCCATTTGGGGAGTGAACCAGCAGATGGAAGATTCTCTCTCTCTCTGCCTCTGCCTCTCTGTAACTCTGCCTTTCAATTAATAAATATTTTTTTAAATTGAGTGGTTGCAAGGCTAGCTCTAACAGAGTCACTTTCACACTCTGATATGCTTTCTTGAATAGGAGAGTAAGAGATATAGAGGCAGCCCTGGCCATGTGGCATGAACATGCTGTGACAACCTCAGCTTGGCAAGCTCACTTGAGAAAAGCAGAAAACTGTCCTCAGAGGACATGATGAGTGGTCTGCAGGCTTGCAAGGGGGAGATAAAGGAAACCATGTGTTAGCACAGCCTCTCTGTCATATTCAGGTTTCATTTTATATGTAGATCCATATACTAAACCCAAAAAGGAAAAAAAATGTATTCAATTTGACTCTCGGGTTATTAGTCCCATACTAAATGAAAAGGAGGGGGATACTAGGACAATAGGCCAACCCCTTGTCACAGTCAGAAAATCATGGCCATCAACCTGGAAGACACAAGAGTAAAAAAAGAAAACTCGTCGTGGCCAGGGACCGTTTAATGTGGTCATAAAGAGGTCCCTGCGCCCCTCAGAAATCACTGTAATGCAGCAAGGGTGAGGTTTTATGGGGCCCGTGGCCACGCCAAGTCCTCCAGCTAACATTAGAAACTCCCCACCCTCCTCTATTGAAGGAAGCTGGAGCCCAGCCATCTCCTTTAGCGAGATTGTTACTCCAGTGGCCACAATCAGGAGTCAAGGCAGGTGTCGCCTTTCCTCTGTAGCACTTCAACTCAAATAATTATTTCATTGTCATTAAGCCTCCTAACCCGTATGCCGTGGGAGGACGGGTGCTGGCCCTGGTGCCCTGTGAGAGGTTCCTTCTGCTCTGGGCCAGCACAAATCCCCACCTGCCACCAGACAGCATGAGGGAGGAGGCAGAGGAGAAGGGGAGGCCTTGTTCCCAGCCTGGCCTCTGCCATGCTGTTCACACACAAAACTGAAGAACTCAATCCATGACGTCATACCACGGGTCCACCTGCCTGCCAGGATCATTGAAATGTGGAGCGTCTCCGTTGATGGCTGCAGGGCAGAAAGCTTCAATGTTGGTGGAAAACCTCTGTCCTGCCTCCAGCTATAAACGCTGGCTTTCTCAGGAAAGTGAATTTCTGTTCTCTTCGGTTTTCTAGACAGTTAGCTAGAAAAAGGCCCGGAACAAATGTGACAAAGGGAGCTGCAGTCCAATTCTCCGCCGACCTGGGTGCCTACCGGCCACCAGGAGAGGAGGCTCTGGGTGCATCCAGGAACAAACCCCCCTGGGGCCCCCCAGCACCTGTGCTGGGGAGTTCAGATGCACCAGACAGAGCAGCCCAGGGCCAGCCCAGGGAGAGCGCAGGGCCACGTGCACCCCAAGGTCACTGCTGAGCCCGCCCGGGGAGGCCTTACTTTGTTCTTCCATTCCACCTTTGCTGTCCCTCCTCGCCTCCCCCTCTCACCTCCGGTTCCTTCCACTCACCCTTCCCCTTCTCCCTGACCCTACCCCTTCCTCTCCCCGGCCCCCACCCCACCCCATCTCCTGAAAGCTTAGACCCTGCCGAGGCCTCTCCCGGTTACCCACAGGCCAGTGTTTTATGAGAGCCGTGGATTCTGCCCTTTGGTCAGGCAGATGAAGCTGCCAGTCAGAGATGAGGCCGTTCACCCGGAGGACATGAATTTTTGAAGAATCAGAGGTATTTTAAGCAAGCTGCATTTTCTGCTTTCCCGTCACGGGGCCACCATGCCCCCCTGGGGGCTCCTCACCCTGCCTTCCTCCCCTCACCCAGAGAACAGGCCCAGGGCGATCTCACAGAAGGTGTCTGTGAGGGGTAAGACTTGGAAGAACTGAAGGTCTAGTCAAGGTTGGCCTCCTAGGAAAGGGCCACGGGGGAGCTGGAGACAGCGGCCCCTTCCCCAACCCCGCCACCCTCCCGGCCCCCACCCAGAGGTGCCAGCTACCGGACAGGAAGTTCAAGCTTTAGGGCCCTCACTTGCTCTGGCCCCTCCAGGGCCCTGGGAAGAGCCCCAGTGCTGTGTTCCCAAGGTCCTGTGTTTTTTCAAGATTTGCAAAATGTGTGTGTTGTAAACATAGCTGTGTTTGTTGTGTTGTTGGTATTGTTGTTGCTTTTGTTGTTGTTTTTCTGTTAAAGCTTCCTCTCCTTCTTTCTTCTCTGGTCAGATGGCTGTGGGCAAGTGGGGGCTCCAGCTAGGAGGAAGCTGAACTGGGCCTGCACTGAACCTGGATGGGCATGGGCTGGGGCACGTTTGTGTGGCCATCCCACTTGGGGTAGGGAGGGCTTACAGAACTAGTGCACATCCTGGATTAAATATGAATGTGTCCTTGGGCGTGTGACATCGCAAGGCTGCGGGTAGTGCAGGAAAAACAAAGCTCAAAATGCATTGACCCAGAGGTGGCTCTGGAAGATTCTTCCAGTCATGAGACGTGGAAGTTTTTATTAATGCTCCATCAAAAGGGAAATTCAAGGCTGAATTCAGGATCGACGTGTGCCTGCTGATAAGTGCACTGTGTGTTGCTTTTAGAAATGGCCTGGGACAGAGATGGTCATCTCGCCGCGGAGGCCAGACCCATAGTGTATCTGTGTGCAAGGAAACCGCCTGAGTGATGCTCAGCGCTCAAGTGTTTTGACCCCTCTGGCTAGAGGAGAGACCGCCTCATCTTCCCATTCTTTCTAACACAAGATCAGTATCAGGGAGAGAACAGAAGTATGCAGACAAAACTTAGAGAGGCAAAAGGTATTTTAGAGGTGTGCCAGGCCATTAATCAAAATGGTGCATGTTTTTCCTGGATTTGCAGATGTCTTTTACATCCACCAGCTTTTAAAAATACACAGTCTTTTGGCTCTTCCGAAGAGTCACTTCTATTCCTGATTTTGCATTTTCGTATTATTTTCCTTAAAGAACCACTCCCCCCACCGCACCCCACCCCTAGACTGCATAAGCCTCAAGACCCGTGACCCTCCTCCTCCCTGTGAGCATCCCGTGAGCATCTGGAGAAGGGTTGGATCCTCTCTGCTTTGGGGACCCCTACCCCGGGCTGGCCACCCACATCCTAGGTCCTGTTTGGCCTGTGGGCCCTTTTGGGGTACCAGCTCCCCTTCCCCCCAGGATCCCAGCTTTTGGCGCTATGGAACTCTTTTTCCTGAAGACTCCTATCCCAGATTCTCAGGGCCCTGCTGCTGTTGGGCAAGATGGAAGCAGGGAACTGCTGTTGATGCCCAGTCCCTTCCACTGAGCCGAGGCCCAAGTGTACCAGCTGTTAGTGGCTAGAAATCCGCTTGAAGCTCTTCTGATTCGGAAAGGTCTTTTGCCAAGTCTTTTCCCAAAGGTGATCTGGCGGGCTACACTGTCTTGTCCCTTCTGTGGCGAGTGTTAACCAGTTTTTTGTTTTCTTTGGCAGAGTTGGTGTGGACCTGGATGAAAACCTGAAGGAGGAACCCCCCTCACACCAGGCAAGTCAAAGAAGCCAATGTAGGAAATAGAGAAATATGAGCTATTCTGCTCCAGACAGTGTTGTATGCTTGTCCAGCATGTGGCCTAGAGGTTCTTTCCAACCAGAGCTGCCTCTGCTGATAAATCTGATGACACTAAAATACATGAGAATTCAGTGTTGATAACATTTTGCAGAATGCTTAGAACTAGCATATGCCTGCAACCTCTCTGTGGCAGCATGAGGCCTGGAAACTTTGCAAGGTGGGAGCACATGGGTCTTGGAATGCAGCACCCCGGAAACTTGCTACCTAGATGCTCTCAGCCAAATCTATTCAAGCTCTCACCAAAGCATGTGAAGCACACTGACTGCCTGGCTTCTCGTTAATCAGGTCAAGGTGTGCAGAAATGTTGAAAATATGCAAAAGACAATGAAACTGTCTAAGAGATCCATCCCTAATTTAACTGGGAAATGGTTGTCCACTAAGACCTAAAGATCCTTTGGAGAGTGTTATTTAGAACAGTTTGATGTCCCCTCAATAGGGAAAATGTATTCTTCAAACTCTGGATTTGAATTTGACATCAAAGTAGAACATCAATAGCAATTTTGCATTAATCATTTTCATTTGTTTTTGTTTTTAAGATTTTTTATTTATTTGAGAGGTAGAGTTACAGACAGTGAGAGGGAGAGACAGAGAGAAAGGTCTTCCTTCCGTTGGTTCACTTCCCAAATGGCTGCAACAATCAGAGCTGAGCCTATCTGAAGCCAGGAGCCAGGAGCTTCCTGCAGGTCTCCCATGTGGGTGCAGGGGCCCAAGGACTTGGGCCATCTTCCATGGCTTTCCCAGGCCACAGCAGAGAGCTGGATTGGAAGAGGAGCAGCTGGGACTAGCACCAGCACCCATATGGGATTCCTTTTGCCACAGGCAGAAGATTAACCTACTGGGCCACAGCGCCAGCCCCTTATTTATTTTTTAATTTTTTTTTACTTTTTAATTTTTTTAACTTGAATAAATTTCATGTATTTTATATAACAGATTTAGGAGCATAGTAATACTTTCCACCCTACCCTTCCTCTCTCCCATGCTCCTACACTCCCTCCTCTTTCCTTTCTTATTCTTTCTTTTAATTTTTACAATGATCTACTTTCAGTTCATTTTATGCTCATAACATTAACCCTTTAGTAAGTAAAGAATTCAACAAATAATGAAAAAAAAGGAATGTTCCTCAATCAGTACGGACAGGGACTATAAACAATAATCAAATTGCAAAATGTCAATTTCGCTCATATACATCATATACATTACATTTTTTGTACTCTGTTAGTTACCACAGATCAGGGAAAACATATGGTATTTGTCTTTTCTGGGCTGGATTATTTCACTAAGTATAATGGCTTCCAGTTGCATCCATTTTGTTGCAAAAGACAGGATTTCATTCTTTTTTATGGCTGAGTAATATTCCATACATATATATATACACCACATTTTCTTTTTTCAGTCATCAGTTGATGGGCATCTGGTTTGATTCCATATCTTAGCTATTGTGAGTTGAGCTGCAATAAACATGGGGGTATAGGTGAATTTTTCATATGCTGGTTTCATATCCTTTGGGTAAATTCCAAGGACTGAGATGGATGGGTCATATGATAGATCTCATTTTAAATCAGTACTTACATGAACAGGTGTGTAGAAACTTTACACTTTACACTGGTATTAGAAGTAGGTAGAGATAACAGGATAATCTGTGAGTTAATGATGCTGCTTAATGAATTGTGTTATGATCACATTTGGATTGAAGAGGATCCACCACTCGTTAACTCCATGAGGTTTCCCTGTAGTGCTATCCATGAGGTGGCTGGTTAGGTTCCTGGATAAGATGCTGTTTTCCTGGTTTACATGGATTTGAAGAAGAACGAAGTCTGAACTCTGCACTGAGAAATTAAATTGGTGAAGGTTCCGGCTTTCAAGAACTTTGAATGTTCCGGTCACGTGTGTTCCCCCAGCAGGCTGTGCTGCTTCAGACTTCACTACCCAGGAAGTAACATCTCACTGCCGGGCTGAGCTCGGCTGCCACACCCAAAGCACTGGGTCAGGGCCAGCCTGGTGACCTTAGGAAGGAGATCTAAGCCCATCTCCTCACACTGGTGGGCATAATGAATAGTTTCTAAGATCTCGTGGTGGCTGATTTTTAAAAAGTGTCTTCATCTTGTATAGGTCCAATAATCCATTCTCCTACCTTCAAGCAAAACTTTTATGTAACTTTTATCCTTCTCATATACCCTTTTCTTTAGAAGAAAAAAGACAGAATAAGAAAATTCATCAAAGAAAATTCTTTATCTTCCCTTAACTGCCTAATATTTTACAATCACATATAATTCTTGGTAAAATTTCCCACTAGCCTAACTCCTTCCTTTTATAATTTTAATGTATTTTATGTTAGCTCATTCATGTGACACTTTAAAACAAAGTTCACTGTTGTTAATTCAGTAATAACTCATACTTGAAGATATTACAGCAATAAAAGGTACATTTTGTTGTTAGAGAAATAGGATCATGTATCACAGGACAGTGAAAATTATGTGGTATTTGAATCTTGGGCAAGTTTTATTCATCTTTGAGTCTTGGCTCCCAAATGTGTAAAATGCAAATGGTAATAACATCAACTTCCCTAGACTACAATGACAATCAAGGGGATTATGTTTATGAAAACTGCCCGATTTTAATTAAGCTCAACCCATCTCATTTTATGAAGGATTTGAGGCAGCTTATGCTACCACATATAAAAAATAGCAAAAGGTTTTTAAAGAATTTTTAAATACAGTAAAAAAAAAAAAAACAGTAAGAGCAGAAAGTCAAAAAGTCAAAACAATAATGATGAATAAGCAGACAGGGAGGACCTCTCTCCTCCCTGAGTGGAGCCACAAGTAAGCTTCCTGGTGGCCAGGTGAGAAGCAGAGGAAGGAATGACCACAAATATGCTAGATTCACAGCCTCAGAGGGAGGAATCACACCCTCTCCAGAGGTACCGAATTTCACAGGTCACTGTGTCTTACAAGGAATTTCTCACTTGGAACCTCCTTCAGAGGTCAAAGAAAGATCTACTTAGATGTTTAGTAACTAATATGATGACTTACAGGGTTCCTACTCAACTGCTACTGCTTAAAAATGAAATAATTTTAAAATCAAGAAACATTCTGTAAGTGTTCTTATTAGCCATAACGTTTGACTATCAAAGTAGTCACATTTCAGAAAGATGTTAGCTCTACACCTTCAAAGAATTCTTGTCTTCAGTGTCAAGTACAGGAAACAGTGAGCTCCAACAGAAGTTGGAGAACAAGCCATAGTCTCTGTAGCTGCCACTTGACATGGACAGTTTTTCTGGTACTTTCCAACATATCTGTCAAGAACCTCTCTGCCTTCAATTTGCCTGGCAACACCTTACTTCTCAGCCATTGCTGTTGAGCTATGGAGTGTAACCCTAATTCTTAGGTGGTTTGCATGTTTCCACTGGCTTGCATTTATTCAACTAAGCTTGCATTAACAAAGAGGATTATCTTTGCACTAGTCAACCTTAAAAAGAGAGACTTTATTCTTACTCCCCAAAAGCTCAAAGTTTTGTAGGTATATATAACCATTACTGACTGTACACTCTCAAAATGCAGAATAAACATGTATATTTTCATGAGTATATTTTTATAGGAATTTCCTCTTTCTCTGTTTGTGGAGAGTAAAATAACCTTTGGGATTATGAACTTGTAGCTATGGCTAACTAGCAATGTCACAATTCCCTTTTTGCTTTGTAATACCTTTAAAATGTGAATGATTTTACAGTCTTACTTGTACCAGGCACAAAAGCTTTAGAGAGTATGTCCCATATGAAGGTATTAAACTTTAAATACATACTCCGAGCAAATGTGCTGCATTGAGAAACGGGAAGTTTTGCAGTTGTGATATTATGTCAACTGAAAGAGAAAAATCTCAAATCTCTCGCCACATAAGCAGTTTCCTTTGTCATTGACAGATTGGTTCCTTGTCCTTGGAGCACACCTCTGCAGAGTAGATGAGAAGCCCCAAAGACCAAAGACCACACTAGCCTTCATTCTTTTTTTTTTTTTTTTTTTTTTTTTTTTTTTTGACAGGCAGAGTGGACAGTGAGAGAGAGACAGAGAGAAAGGTCTTCCTTTTTGCCGTTGGTTCACCCTCCAATGGCCGCCATGGCCGGCGCACCGTGCTGATCTGATGGCAGGAGCCAGGTGCTTATCCTGGTCTCCCATGGGGTGCAGGGCCCAAGCACTTGGGCCACCCTCCACTGCCCTCCTGGGCCACACCAGAGAGCTGGCCTGGAAGAGGGGCAACCGGGACAGAATCCGGCACCCCGACCGGGACTAGAACCCGGTGTGCCGGCGCCGCAGGCAGAGGATTAGCCTAGTGAGCCGCGGCAGGATGCAACATTTTATGAGGGGAGTAAATGATGTGCAGAAGCAGAAGCAAGCCATGTGATGGGTGGGGTGGTGGGAAATGATGCAGGCAGATAGAACAGCGAGGACGAAGGCCCTGCAGTCACATGGGTGAGGTTGTGTCCAAGTGCACCAAGAAAGTCAGTGTGGCTGGAGCCAAGCAAGGTGGAAGGAGATGGGGATGCAGACGGTGGGGGAGAGGGCTGGGGCCAGCTCATTGCCCACAGTGATGCATTTGGTTTTGTTATACATATGATGGGCTCCACTGGTAGTTTGGAGCTGAGAAGTAACAGAATTGATCCTTTGAAACAATTTCTTGTTCTGCCAACTGTTACAATGAGGATAATTTTCATCCTTTCTAGCACAACTTTATCTTTTCCCACTATGCTTGTTTCTCTATGATTTCTCCTAGTATTAAAATCCAGTTCTCTTTTACTTCCCATAGTCCCCTCATTGAAATTCGGTTTCTGGTTGTCCTTTATGCTTATGTGTAACCTGAGTGGATCAGTTCTGATTGCTGCAGCTCAACAAAGTCAGCCCAGAGCTGAGAAAGGTTCCAAGAAG